GGACATGGGAATGGGACGGGAGTTTAATGGCAATTAAGTCTTCATTGAATCAAGAATCCAAGAGTAAAGCTCTGTGCCCCCTACCCCCACACTCAAAACACTCACACACCACCCCCACTCGTGATCCAGGCCTGGGATGGCCACTGGGGTGCTCGGTACAGAAGAAACCTACCCTCACTCAGTGACGGGGATTTCTCAGAAACCCCTCTGGGGGTAGGCACCCCTGGTCTGCATGGCCTACCACTGGGAGACACAGCCGCTAACTCAGGGTTGGTTTCTCTAACGGTTACAGAGGCAGCTGTTTGCATTGTTCGGAGGGTTAATGCCCGCTTTTGTTAAGTATTTAACATATGCCACAAGTTTTATAATTTTGTTTGGAACTTCTTTATTTTTAAATATACCCAGTCCCCCAAAAGGTGGAAGTGGCCCCAGCCTCTGGGCGTCGGAGGTGGTGATGCAGGGAGACGCCTTCATCCTCCTCTTGTGCCCACACCCTGACTGCACACAGCGCCTTGTCCACCTGCCAACTCACAGCTCCATGGTGAAGACTCAACTACACTTCCCTCCTGGGCCTCCCCTCCCAGGGTGCCTCTCCTTCACTCCCCCGAGCCCAGAAAGCTGCCAGAGGCCCCAGCGGACCTGCCCTCTCCACCCAGGACTCACCAGCAAAGGCTTTAGAAATCCGCTCCTTCTTCCACTCCCAGGGCTGGTCATACTCCTCGGGCGGCCTCTCATCATCCTCAGGCAGGCGGGACTCCCGGGGCCAAGGGGCCCCCTCGCCCTCAGGGGTGGCCCCCTCCTCTTCTGGCTCATAGGGTGTGTCATACAGAGGCAGGGGCTGAGTGGCCGTCTCCTTGGAGCCCCGGATCTCTACCAGGGCAAGCAGGAAGGAGGCGTGAGAGCCTGGCTGCCTGGCTCAGCCCCCAGCAGCGCTCCCAGCAGCCAGGCAGGCTTCCTTCACAGATGCCGGTGGCTCTGGGGCACACATACAGGGTCCCTCTCCCTCAAAACACCTCCGGGGTTCCAAAAGCATGGGACCCAACAGAGGCAGGGGCAGCGGCACCAGCATGAAAGACAGAAAAAGGATCCTGCGATGGCCAGCAAAGGCTGGGAGCTGAGGCGTACACATTCAGGAAACCAGGTCAGGGTCCTCTCCTAGTCCATCTCCTTGCTACCCAACTCCATTTATTTCCTTGTGTCCCAAGTGATACCATTCACAATATGACAATCCTTTGTTGCTCAGACACTGCTGACCACCCCATCCTTGAATCTGTCCCCTTCCCATTTGGTCTCTTTTACTGGATCCTCTCTTGGTCTCGGTTTCCCAAGGCCAAGTCTCATTCATTTCTCCCAGGCCTCATCCTTGCACTACTTGCCCAGTCGAATGCTTTGCATCTATGTTTCTAGTTGCCATAAAGATGTTTCAGTTCGATGTTTCAAACTCCCCACTCTCCCCGAATGTCCTTCTAGTCTGTTCTGTGATTTTCTTTTTGAGATCTCTGACCCCAGTGAAACTGATAAAAGCTATGGAGCTCCCCCTATGTGCAGATTTTCTCATCAATCCCAGGGCACTCATGGGCCTCCCAGGGCAGCGGTCGCCAACCGGTGGTCTGCGGACCACTGGTGGTCCATGAGGTCCAAAGGTTGGCAACTCTGTCCTAGGGGGCCACACCCCTCCCACTGTCTCCATTTCTGTCTACTATACTGCTCTCCTTGGTCCTGGCCCTCCTTCACTGTCTGAGTCCCATCTGTCATTGCCAATGCCTGAGGAGTCTCACCCTCATCTCTCCACATCTAGATTACTACTAGGGCGAACCTCCATTCTTCAGGCTTTTGTTTCATTGGCTCCATGGAATAACACTCCTGACTGCCCTCTGCCCGTCTCCCACCTCTTCCAAGGAGGGCGAGCAGTTTATCTGATCTGCTTTCTTACACAGAGAGAACATTATGGTTCTTTTTCCTTCTGCTCCTGTGCAAGGGCCTACAGTCATGCTACGTTGCCCAAGCCTGAGTAGGCAAGTTTAATTCTGTGGGGAAGTATTAAGAAGCTCATTGTAGTGACATAGCTAAGTAATGTTCTCCAATCACCTTTATCAGTAAGAAAACTGACATTGTTATCTCCATTTTCTGTTTCCTTGATCTTATTTCTCAATTATTTCCAAGCTCCAGAGGGGAAGAAAAGGGTGTTAATTATTGGTTCTGTAAAGCCTCAGTAATTTCCATAACAGCCTGCTAACTCATCTTTCTGATTGATGCCCAGTTCTTCTAGTCTGTTCTGTACACCAAAGCCTCTGTAATCCTCTTAAAATGCCTTATTTGTCCTGTTGCTTTCCTGCTCAAGAATCCATAATGGCTCCCCTTCCCCTTTTGGAGCAAGTCCAAATGCCTCATTCCAGCCTTTAAGGCCTATCAATGCCCCTCTTGGCCTCTCTCATCTTGCCTCTCCGGTGAACATATCTTCCTTTCATCCTGCCTTGGGACCTTGGCTTAGACTGACTCACCCCTGTCCTCCTGTCTGCTTGCCCCGATTTGGTCTTTCCCTGGGCCCTTTCTTGGTCTCTGCTCCCCAGAGCCAGGCTTATCCATTTCTTCCTGCCCTCACTCCTTCAACTACTTGCCCAGCATCATGGGCATTGCATCTGCACTTATAGTCATGCGTTTCCAATTGTCATAACATCGTTTCAAACTTACCACCTTCTCTAAAGCTAGTGATTCTCTTTTAGGGACCAATGACCCCCAGCCCACACCACTATCTTGCCCTTCCTCACTATCCCAAATGCTTCCATCTGTCTGACCTTTGGTTGTGTGGCTTCTCTACCACCTCAGGTCTCAGGTACCACAAATCACAGCTCCTTCTCCAAAGTGACTATCTTGACAGTAGTGGTCACCTTCCCCGAGGACCCAGCAAAGGCATCCTCCATATTTTCTAGAGACCAAGGAATCAGTTCTTAAGACGTGTGGGTCCCAAAGCTTGCTTTGCAGATACTCAAGCCTCAGGGAACAACTTCCCCCAACACCCTCCCTTACTCTATCACTCACCGGCCATCATCTTTTGGGCCTCATAGGGCTCCATGTAGCCATCATTTTCCGGGACCTTCTCTGGGGCTCCTGAAGCTCCTACTAGGCTGTCACCAGTCTCCTGGACATCAAACGGGTCCGCATAGTCTTCTAGGATTGCCAACTGTGGGAAGAGAGCAGGCGTCAGACATCTGAGAGACAGCTCTGCTCCCCAGATGCTCTATCCACAGGAGCAAGAGTCCTGGACAGGCTGCCTTAGACCTGGAGCCCCAGTCTCTGAACTTAGAGGGGGACAAGCCCTGGCTCTTCCTGTGCAGGGGTCTCCCACTAGGCTGCCCAAAAAATGGTGCTTTCTTTTCTGTTAATTTTGTGCCTCTGGGCCATCCCCTAGGCCAGTGGTCGGCAAACTGCGGCTCTCGAGCCACATGCGGCTCTTTGGGCCCCGAGTGTGGCTC